CATTTTGGGTTTTCATGAGCTGTATGCCATAATCATCAGTATTAAAACAATTAAAGACCTGAAATATTTCAGTTGGTGTGCAATGAATCTGAAATATATGAAAGTTTCATTTTTATCATTACATTATGGAAAATAATGACCTTTATCACAATATGCTAATTTTTTTAGAAGGACCTGTATTTATTTTTCTTTCGGCTGCTCCCTTCTTCAGGGGTCACCACAGCAAACTAAGTCGCATGAAAACTTGGTGATTATTTTACGCCAGATGTTCTTCCCGACACAACCACAGACCACCGAGCTACCACAGCCCTCTGTGTGGAGCAGAGAGCTGTTATCAGGGCACCAGAGGGAGCAGTTTTGGGGTTAGGGGCCTTGCTCAAGGGCTCAGAGTGGGGCAAATGAGGGTGGAGACTGGTGTGGGTGCTTCACCTATCCCACCCACATTTTGATGTTGTCAGTACCAGGAGTTGAACCAGCCATCTTCCGATCACAGGTCCATGTGTGTGTGCGTGTGTGTGTGTTTACAAATTCCTTAGTTGGGAAAAACATTTGCTGATGGTTAGTTTTTTTTAATTCAGCATTTCAACACTCTCAGATGAGCAACGTTGACATTTGTAAATAGATACTGACAGTTAATGTAAGCTTGTTACTGCAGATAAAATAAGTTGGCAAGTAAATATAATCTTTCATAAAGGTCCTTTTAGGTGACGGTGTTGGTGAAAGGTGAATAGTTCCTAAGCCCTCTGTTAATTATGAATCACATTTTCAGGGTTTGTTGTCCTGGCTGAAGAACTGTCAGGTCAGGAGTCGGTCATTTAGCACATAAATGTCCTGGTGCACATCACTCTGAAGGTGTGAGATCCGTGCTCTTTAAGAGCAGATATTTCACACTCTCACCAGTGTTGTTTGCTGCCTTTCTTTTAAAAACCAACCTAGGGTCGGTCACAATGTCACAACAAGGGTATGTTAATGCTGTGAGTGACATTGAACATTTTATTGTAGAAATGACAAAACTGGATAAAGACTGCAAGATGTATACTTAAATAATGTACCCATCTATTGATCCAAGGGCACCTTTTTTGTTTACCCTCTTGTGGATGATGGTGTCATATTAGCCCATTAAAAAAACACTTTCAAACCAGGCCTGGAACCAGTTCTTGCCATCTCGGTGTGTTTAATATTGAGGCCATAGTGGCATGGGTGGTTGGATTCAACCAGTTACTATTCTGCCTCTGATCCACAAAACAAGCTAGTAACAGAGCTGGTCAATGGTATGTAGTTCAAGTTCAAGTCAATTTTATTGTCATTTTCATCACGTGGTACATGTCGTAAGAACTGATGATCTGCATGTCAACAACAATTTACAAGTAGAGCTCCACATTAAAACTAGTTGGTAACGCAAGGATCAGTGGTTAGCACTGTAGCCTCACAGCAAGAAGGTCCTGGGTCCAATTCCTGCTTTGGACCTGGGGTCTTTCTGTGTGGGGTTTGTATTTTCTCCTCATGTTTGTGGGTTTTTCCCCATTGTGGCCTCGTTATGGTTGATATCCATCCCTCATTCGAAATGTGACTTGAATAATTAAAAGGTTATGCAGCAAGCATGCATATGTAGACAATATTTGATCATCACCACACTGCTTGCTTCTTGTTCTTATATCACATCTTTGCAAATTAGTTTTATTCATCAGCTGTTTGTTCTTTTTTGTTAAATTAGTCTTTTTTTTTTTATAGTCCAGTAGTTTAAAGCTAATTGTATCTTTTTCAGAGTAAGCTTTTTTTTATTTTACTCATGTCTCACAAAATCTGAATGTGTCTGAATATTTTTAGCATTAATAATCCATGACAAAATGCCTAAAACATTTGTTTTAACATGTTAAGCTTGACAATTTTGTTTTAAAGAAGAAAAACATAGATGCAACAAAGTTAATTGCTATACCTCTGTCTTTATTTAGCTGGCTATTCCGAGATTTAAGAAAATTACATTTTAAATCTTGTTTAAAAATTACACTCTGTCCCTGCCTGTAAAAACAGGCCAGTTTTAGAAAATATATTTTTCATCTTTTTCTATTCCTTTTGAACAAATAAAAGCAAACACTTGTGCTTTCTAAAGTCCAAGCTTTGAATATTTACAATACATCTAAAATGATTCAATTATATTGTTGTTTTTTGTAAGATAACTTACAAGGACACAGATTTCAGTGCAGCTATATTGTCTCTACTTCATTTTGGATTTTGTTTAGTTGTGCTTATGTTGTGTATTGTGTCTATGTGCTGCCATTTTCACACAGATCTTAAATAAAAATCAGTCTTGTTTCACCCTAAAAAACATAAAAAACATCTTAGATTTGTTTTGCTTGACTTTGCAGAACATATTAAACTGCATTATTGGTGTAATCCTCTTTTTATTTTAGCTTATTCTTTACTGAGTCAGAAAACACAAACACAAAAGTGTCATTTACACGTCAAACCCTAATTTACGTCAGAAGCCTTGTTTTCTTTTTTAATTTAATGGCTGTTGTATTTTTAATGGCTCCCTGGACTTCTTTCCTTTCACAACATTTGCATGCTTGCACACATGGCTATTTGCTCACTTGTGCTCACACACCTGTGCATTTTGTATTGTGTGCTGTTGCAGAGGAATTGTATCTCTGCTGCACTCTTTGTCTCTCATTCCCATTAAAAAGCCAATTTCTTTTTTAATAGCAACAACAGCTGGAGCTGACAGGGCCCAGTGTCTGCTGATGGAGCAAACAGCTCTTTAGCTGTAATGCAGCTCCAAGGCAGGTGCAAGACATGTTTTGGTGTTGTATAATGTGAAATATGTCAACAGGCAGCCTCAGCGAGAAGTTAAGCTGCAGAGGAAAAAAACTGTTAATATTAGTCACGATGGAAGCTCTCAAAAAGATATTTCATCATGCGTCATGTTAACTGTATTTCACTTACAAGCCATAATCTTTACCTCCTCCTTCTTCCAGTGCACCTGGGTAAATCCCAGGAGATGGCTGAACCTACAAGAGTACCAGAGCAAGAAGCTGATGCAAGACAGTGGCGTGGCCGTCCAGCGCTTCTTTGTTGCTGATACAGCTTCGGAGGCCCTGCATGCTGCAAAAAGACTCAGTGAGCAAATGACACACGAATGTACACACATGCACATGAAAACGTGGGTCACAGATGTCCACTGGAGCACTTCTGACCATAGCAGGCTTCAGAAATAACTTTCCTATAAATGTATGCAGTTGTGATTTAGAAAAGGAAATATCTTAGGAACGCTTTGACACTGGTTGGTGCCTGCTTTACTCTTCATGACCTACGTAAAGTGTTAAAACGCCATGGATACTGTGCCACTAGGGTCACCCAAGTTCTTGAAGCTCTGTCTAGGACTTGATTCTGCCGCCACCACAACCATGCTAAAACAGTATTGGTATGCTCAAAATTCTCCAGTTAGTTCTACATACATGCTTCTATCAAAGAGCATCCATTTTTGGCTGTTTGTTGTTTCTTTGCAGCAGGTTCATCATCCAGTGTGGAGGAAGCCTTACTAAAGAATCCACTAAACTTGCAAATTCTTTATTACTTTACACATTCCAACACTTGATGCAAAATAAATGCTGCAGACAGATTTAGGTCGACACGTCAGGGAAATTGAGGTTCCACCCTCAGCTGGGTTCTCACTAAGTTCACTTCAGATTTGCTAAATGTCAAAACAAACAGTAATAAGAGGGCGACGTTCTGTTTTTAGAGCACATTACTTTTGTTTTTGTTTGATACTACATGATGACGCCACATTTGTCCTCATGTCTAATGCGTTCTCGCTCTTTTTTATAAAACTGCATTTTAATTGTTTTTACAATTTTATTTTAACCATGTTTACTTGGACATTATGCGTTTTTTATTATCTGTGTTATTGCACATATAATAGCATTTTAATTTTAATTTTCTAATTCTAACAAACCTATTTGTGGTGCACAGTCCTTTGTCTCTGCAGCAGGATGTACAAATAGCTGTGGTTAATAAGGCCTGAAGTTTTATCAAGTTTAATCGCATCTTAATGCTGTTTACTTATGTGCATGAGCCAGTGTTTTTTGACCTTAGTGGTTGTGCCTGCTCTGTTTTTCATCACGGCACTCATCCGCGTTAATTCATTTCACAACCTCTCGCATTGAGTTTCTCATGCTTTGCATGTTTTGTTTTATTTTTGTCATTCTTTTGTTTTTATTTTTAATAATCAGTGTTTATTCTTGTGTGCCGTATGATTTATTGGTGTCTTACGCTCGCACAGAGCTATCCCAGGAAGCAAAGAAAATTATACTTGTCCTAAGATTTTTTTTTTTTAAGGAGGGATTGTACTTGAATGAACCAAAATGGTTTAACATTTATTTGCATGCACCCGCACAACTATCAAACCCCTACAACACATATTCCCACACTAAGATTTTTACTTTATTCAGTGTCTTCTTATAACAATGTCTATTTGATAGTACGTCAAAAGTTGGTTATCAACCAGTAAGGTGCCACTTTTATCAACAACTTATGGCTCGAAGGCCCGAGGTGCTGCTTTCAGTGGCTCCAGTTATGATGTAGAAAGAGATAAACAAGAAAAGTAAAATAAAATACCTATATTGCTGTAAGAGGCAAAAACACAAGACAGTACAGAGGAATTACCAGGCAACAAACGACTTAATGCAGCCCAGGTCAGCTCAAAGGAATGAACTACTTAAATTTTTATTTCCAGCAATTTTACCATACTCAATCTTTGTTTTTATCAGTGTCTGTTAGAGTTACCCCTCTGAAATGTTCATGCTCGGTGCTTGATGTGATTTATCACTGCATTTGCTGACCTCAAGAAATGAGATTCTTTCATATTAGAAATATTTTTACTGATTTCTGGAACTTCTGTTCCTTTTCCTACACAGGTACAGAAAACTTGAACTTTTTTGTTGATGTTGTTTCATCATCCTCCAGAAATAGACTAGATTTATTCAATAACACAGCATTAAATCCTAATTTGCATCCAGTTAACACTCCTCTGGCTGTTACAGCCAATGATGTGATTTTTTGTAAATTCTCAGCCAAACTGAAATTGTGCGCCAACATAAATGTTTGCAGTAATTTGTAGTTATCTTGGGAAATTAAGGTCTCAGTTTCTGGAGCGTATTTCAGAGCTGCTTTACTCTCTCATCTCCATTAGTGCACCAGGCTTTGTTTGGCATCCTTGTGCAATTGCCTCACACTTTTGTCTCTCGTGCCGACTGCTGGCGCACTAATAAAGCATACAAGTGTGCATCTATGGATGCTCCACTTATTCAGATTCACACTGTGTCAGTATGTCTTTCTCTTGGACTATGTTAGGTCATACATAAAGGTGATAGAGGGTGAAAGGAAGCGGGAGATATCTAACCTTCGTTAAGATCTGTTGCGTTAATAAACAGAGTAAGAATGCCAGGCTCTGACTCCCAGGGTGTGAGTAGAAGATGGGTGAGGAGCCAGCCCTGGCTAAAGCTCTCTTAAATGGCTGTAACACTGTAGAGGACACATGGTATTGCCCTATGCATGAGATGTGCATGGTTAGTCTATCTGAGCTGCCTGGGAGCAGCTCATACAGATTTCTGTGTGGCACTGACATCCTGCTGTGAGCCCCTGGTTCCTTGTGCACACACTAGAGTGAACTAGTCGAGCGTGAAGGCACAGTCACAGATGAATGGCATTCATCGCTTGCCTGTATGGGCACACAAACACACATGTGTTGCCAGCCAGTATTCTCCTTTCTCCTACACTCACTTAACCATGAATTGGTTAAGCTGACAGGTAAATTGCAGCCATGCTATATAGAATCCTCTTCTACTTTTTTCATGCAATGAACCAGATTTGGTGAAGTGGACACAGATTCATTTGTTCTATTCCCACCAAAGACAAACACCATTTTTACAAAAACATTTTAAAAATGGTGTCCATCATGGATCAATGATTTCCTTTACGCTTGATTGACAAGTCCAAGAGGAGAGTTTCCAGTGTAGCAGATGGGTGATGCACAACCAGCTAATAGCTCATGGAAAAACGTCTTTGATTCCTGAGGTACCACACTGGCTGAATCCTGCTGGGAGTGATCAGAAAGTCCAAAGCTTTTGGAAAATGCTCTCCACTGGGACAATGAGAGAGTGGTGAAATTACCACTGCTGTCCATCAAATTCAGTATTACACATCCAACAGTATCATGCTCAGTACTTAGAACTTGGTATTGTTGTTGTATGTGTGTGTGTGTGTTTGTTCTAAGCTCAGGTTTTAGAGAAAAAGCAGACAAAACTTGATTTTTTCTTAGCTGTCCCATTTGTGTGTTGATTGTTGAATTGTAAGTTTTCAGTAATTTAAGCCTCTTTGCCGTTGATGAGTGCGTCTCCACTCGGCTCTTGTCTTATTGGTTCTTCTCAGGTGTAGGTGATTTGCCACAGTGATCTGTTTCCTGCTCTGTGAGCGGGAACGTCAATGCAAAGTGAGCTGTATAATAACAGGTCATCTGCCCATTGTGGTCCTTAATCACCCTATTATCAGACTTAAGTTACTTTAGCTTAACCCGGGACTAGGTTATAGAGATATGGGAGGAGGGTTGAATAATCCTCTTCAACCACTGATATTGCTCTTTTTTTTTTTTTTAGAAAAAGTGAATCAGTGGAAATTTATTTGAAAATGAAGAAAATTATTAAATAGAAGTCATTGAAATGAAGTTATTGTTTCGGGGAAACTGTACTTTTTGACAAAAAGTACACACAATGTATGCTTATTTTTATTTATTTTTTGTACATTTGAAAAGTCATATCACTGCCAGAATAATTAGTCTGGTAGGAGTGATAAAAACATCCGTCCGCCTTCCTGCTTCTTTCCTTTCTGGGCCATGGGGGTCACTGGTATCCGATAACGTTTTGCAACAAGCATTTCCTTTGCCAAGTTATTAGAGATGCACAATATTATCGGCATGGTATCGGTATCGGCCGATATTAGCGTTAAAGTTCAGTATCAGACATCGACCATTCTTCAAAATAACTCACCGATATAAAAGGCACTGTTTTTGTATGACAACCCAGTGACAAGGATGCCTGCAGCGGCAGCACAACATGATGATGTCACACACACGTACCTGATCTCACGGCGGAGAGGAAAATTTAAAATGTCGGCGGTGTGGAGGTTTTTTGTCCGTTGGTGAGGATGTCAGATTCCAAAGATTTTTGGACTACGTTGAGCCTCGCTACATCGTCCCCAGTCAGAGATATTTTTTCCGATGTAACCTTACCCGAGTTACAAGCCGTCATTTCCGATGTCATTGAGAAACTAATAGCCAATAGCACTTGGGTGAGTTTTACCACAGATTTTTGGACATTGTGTTAGCCCCGTTAGCATGATTAGTCTTACGGCACAATGGATAGACAAAAACTTTGAACTTAAAAAAGGTCCGTCCTTCATGCACAAGAGTGCACAGGATCCCACACTGCAACTAGAAACCTGGAACAAGCCTCCTCGAGTAAGACAGAATCGCAGGTGACTAATGCTGATAAATAACATTTAACACTTTTCATTTAATATAAGTCAAAGTGCTATGCATATGGTTGTTACTGAATTTATGTCACCAGGTCTTACAGCTGTTAAACAATTTTTGTAGCAAATAAGCCTAAATAAGAGGAATATGTTCTGACAAAGGAAAGTATATAAAAAATATCGGTATCGGTTATCAGCCAAATAAGTTTTAACGTATCGGCATATCAGACATCGGCCATAAATTAAATATTGTGTATCCCTAAAAGTTATTGATTACTGCTTACTATTGTTCCTAAAAATAAATTAACATACATACTGTAATAGACATAGGAAAATTGTATAAGAGAATTCAAAACAGCAAAAAAGCAGCAGCATGTTGTACTTGCTGAAAACAATCAAAGGCATTTTTTAAAGACAAGTAAAAAGTGCTTTACAGTACTCTAAATAACAGCAAATTTGGGTAATTTTGATATAGTGTAAATGTTTCTACAGTAATGTTCACATTAAAAGTTAGGCAAATGTTAATATTGAAGTTGTTTTAAGATAACAGTCACTAGTCTGATCCCTACGAACAAGCGTTTTACTCCACTGTC